TCAACCATAAAAACAAAAAATTATACATTTTCTCATATCAATCAATATTTAAACTCATTTTTAATACATTTTTTCCAATTTATTTAACTATAAATAAATTATTTCTCTTTCCAATTGTTTATTTTTGCGCAATATTGTAATAGTAAATTTCATAGCCAAAAAAAAAAATTTCATTATATTTTTAACAATAAAAATTTTTTCTTCTTAACACTTCCATCATAAGCATGTTATGTTAATTCGTTTTTTTCAAATTGATGATCAATATCATCAAAATATAATAAAATGCAAAAATAATAATTATTATTATTAGATATAATCTAAAAAATGTCTAACTAAATTATTATAATTTCTAAAGTTTTTATTTTAAAAAATAAAAATTCGATCATTTTGAATGGTTAAAAAAAAAATTTTTGACAAATAATATTAGATATATAATATAATATATATAATTTGAAAAATTTACAAATTTTTTTATTACTATAAAACTTAAACTAATATAATAATAACATAAAAGTTAATAGGAAAAAAAAATATAAAGACAAAATTAATTTAATAGATTTATTTCATTTGTTAGTTAATTTAATTGAATTTTCTCTTGTTAAAAAGTGTGAAAAAAATCTAAAAACAAAAAAAAAATCAATTATTTTGTCAAATTTGCTGTGATTTTATGATAAAATTTTTTTTTAGTAGGAACAGCAAAATAAAAGATTATCGGCTTTAAAATGCCAATTTTATGTTGTAAATGATATGTTTTGTAATTTTTTTTTTTGTAATAATAAAAATATAGCAAATAACATCGCATAATTTATTAATAATTTCCTTCAATTTATCTATTAAGTTAAATCTAAAAAAAATATTTAGAAATAAATCTATTTTAAAGTGAAATCTGAAACTGAACCGAACGTATCCACAAGATTAATAATTTAATAATTATTTATATAATTAAAAAAAATATATATATTATTATTAGTGAAGAGCGACTTTGATTTTTTATAATTTTGAGAAGGATATTAGATAATAACTTTTGTCTCTTATTGATTATTTTATTTTTTTAAATTTATATTGATTGATTAATGCCAATCATACTAATCAATTTTATATTTTTTAAGGCGGGATAAAATTTTAAGATTGACAAGTAATTCATATTAACTATAATTATGCCACTAAAAAATAATGATAGGATAAGTTTCTGCGAGGCTAGCTCATTTTCCTAGTGGGATTTTCTTGGGATTTCAAGATGGGTACGATTCGAAGATCGTTAAAACCGAGATGCGATCACGAGTCACGTGAACCAGGGCATCAAGCATTGGATTAGCAAAATTACTCTTAAGAAGGTCAAGAAGAAAGGAAGGGTAGTTATCTATTGAAACAATTAAACCATTCTCTTTGTTGATTAATTATTGAACCATTTATTTTTATTTTTGGGAACATATGGGTAGATAAACGATGGTTAGAACTCTAACAATATATTCTTTGATCTGGAAGATCTATTAGCCTGACTCGGAAAAGCAGTCTGGTTAAATAGAAGGAAGATCAAAAAGACAACTTGTTGGGATATGGCGATCGCTCAGATAAATTAAAAAAAAAATTCAAATGTTTATTACGATATTGTCTGAAATTCATGTAGTGGGCAATCTCCACATAATTGGAATTCATTCCTGGCAAAGTCGGATTTTTAAACTTAATAAAAATTCAAAACCTACTGCGCATGTCCGGGAGAACTCATCAATCGCCTTACCAAAATTTTAAATATTTCTAACTAATCATCTGAATAATTGAATTAGTTATTTTTTAAATATAATACCATAACTGATCAGATAAAAAATATTTGCCCTCGAATTTATTGTATAAATTAAATTATAAATCATCCAAATAAATATGTAGATATATTATTCATTTCAGAAGATTAAGGGACAAATCCGAGTCCGAACTGACACCTTGTCCATCAGCGGGCAGACACTTTCTAAGACAATTGGTTCTTAATTTAAAATTTACTTAGGATAGCAACAGGACTCTAACCCGGTCAGATATTTAAATTATTTTTTGTTTTCTCGATATTTTTTGATGAATATTTTTTTTCAATTAATAAAGCGCGAGGCTACGTTGTATCCGATACATTCTATTTGTATAGGAGTGGGATTTACGATACTTTTATTCTGACGTGGTATCCGGCTAAATAAATTATTTTCCTATGTTTTTAAACGTCATATATTGTGTATCGTTTAGAAAATTCAATAAATTAACAAAAATTGGATTACATGACTCGAATCATTTTTTCCTCAATAACAGAAGCGACTTAAACTTGGATCTGTTTTTAAAATCATCAATTTTTTCTGGAATCGGTTAAAACCGGGAAAAATAGGTCTTACCCTGTATTTGACAGTTAGCTGCGAATTAGCAGCGGTGAATGCGTGGTATTATAATATACAAGTTTTCTCAATTATTATTGACAGGAAATTTTCACGAAAACTCTTAAAAAGGGTATCAGAATGGTTCTATGACTACAGCTCTTTTAGAACATATGTTTGTTGAATTAAATATCACGTGATTTTATTTAAAGAAAAGATTCTATTGATAAAATAGGCATATAAACTTGGATCCTAACTCGGCACTGATCGAGCGTGTCGCTGATGGGGAATAGGTTTATATTGAACGCGTCAGGGTGATAAGAAATCTGCGTCATTACCGCCATTTTTATCCAACGGAGAGAGCCCTGGGAGATAACAGTAGGTGTTGAGCAAGTCCCTAAGGATATTGGACAATTCTTGGAATTTCGTGGGATATGTTATCTAAGAATACATAAATTATACTTAAGTTCTTGCAAAAGTTCCCCGAACGCTAACAAAAAGAAGGGGTTACATGAGCCCCTGTCCCCATTTTAAAATATTACGAAAAGATAAAAAAAAAAAAGAAGGCTCTGAATAGAATAAAAAAAATATTTGCTAACTCCAAATTTATAAACATCTTGTATATATTAAAAGTTTTCTAAGGAAATGAGAAGTAGGAACCCATTACTTCCTGACAGGGATTCGAACCAAACCCGAACCCGGTAAAGAAAACCCGGGTTGTTGGGAAAAAATTTGAACCCGAACAGAACCTGAACCCCGTTAATAAAATTTTCATAACCCCGAACCGAACCCGTAAATTTTATTTGAATCCGGGTTCAACCGGTTTCAGCGAATTGTTTAAAAACATATATTAATATAATATTTTCAAATTTCCAATTAAGTGAAGTGTTTCTATATTTTAAACAACTTAATTTCATACACGCCATTTTAAAAATCTTATTTAATTTATTCTTAAAGATTCCTATTGAAATGTTTAATAAATTTTAATTCATTTATGCCGTTTCATTTTTAGTTTTTAACTTATTCTCAAAGATTAATTAGAAGGAAAAATAAAAGTGAACAAGTCAAAGTAAAAAATATTATATTTGGATATTGTTAATTTAAGGAAATATGTCATTAAATTTTCGAAATTGATACATGACTATCCTCTGTATTTTTTAACCATATTTTGCCTATAATTAAAATAAAAAATCAATTTTTTATGCCCAAATTTATGTCTAATTTTTTAATTATGATTTAAATATAGAATTTTTTTTTATCAATTGGAAAATTCTTAAACCCGAGCTGAACCCGGAACCAAACCCGGGTTCGAAAATATTTCCCGGAACCAAACCCGGGTTCGAAAATATTTTCCGGAACCAAACCCGGGTTCGAAAATATTTCCCGGAACCAAACCCGGGTTCGAAAATATTTCCCGGAACCAAACCCGGGTTCGAAAATATTTCCCGGAACCAAACCCGGGTTCGAAAATATTTCCCGGAACCAAACCCGGGTTCGAAAATATTTCCCGGAACCAAACCCGGGTTCGAAAATATTTCCCGGAACCAAACCCGGGTTCGAAAATATTTCCCGGAACCGAACCCGAATTCGAACCCACCTATTTTTATTTTACCTTAAACCGAACCAAACCCGAACCGAAGTCGGTCAAAAATTTTGTCGGGTTCGCATCCCTGCTTCCTGAACCCTGACAGGCTCCTTTTTTTCCTTTGCTTTGATAATAACAGCTGATTTTGCGTTATTCCCAAAAAAAACATTTTTTAAAAAATATTTTTTTTTTAAATGAAGCTATATCAAAAAGTACACTTTATCCTAAAAGCGTTAAAGAAGCATTCCAAGAAGGCCTCTTAGATCTCGTCCTAGTTTACTTCTTTATCGTTGCATTTTAAAATAAAAACATGTTAAAAGGCAATAGTTTAGTGACTAATGAAGAATTAAGAAGTTCACATCGGGCACTAAATAATAATGAAAGCAGTCGGACATTTTAGAGTTTCTATATTTTCCGCTAGCAGTTTTTACTAATTTTTCCTATTTCGGCAAATAACATTTTTTTCTTTCTACAATCTACCCAAGACCGTGCAGAAGGGGTTCGAGAGAGCAGCCGACCCGGGTAACCGAAATTAGACAAATTTTTAGGGGCCAAACGGATAACACAATATTTTATCCAGAAAAATATTACGCAAGTGGCGATTTTGCTAATACATGGCATGGCATTAAGGTTTGGACACCTATAGACGAAATTTCGAGTCTTAGTCAACATTTTTCTGATTGGAATATTGAGTTGGTCGTCTTTAAGAATCGGCTTGAAAACGAGCCGTTTAACAACACTAGGCACGTTTCTTTCTTTCTTACTTTTTTTTTTCTTTCTTTCTTTTTCTCTTCTCTTCTCTTCTCTTCTCTTCTCTTCTCTTCTCTTCTCTTCTCTTCTCTTCTCTTCTCTTTTAATAAAAATTATCACTTTAAACATTGTTAAAGTTTTTAAAAAAAGCAGCGATATAAAAAATGAACTAGGAGTACAAAAAAAAAAAATATTTACTTTCCAATATAGAATATTTCTTTTCCTTTTTTTGTTTTGTATTGTTTTAAAACAAATTATTTATTATCTTTTTTTAAATAATAAGATAAAATAATCTAGTTTTAATATCACACACATAGACGCAAAAAGGATGGCCTTCCAGATGGCGCGCAAGGCTTACAAAGCCAAAAAAGCTCTGAAACAGCTGGAAAAGGCCAAGATAAACTCCTGGAGGGCGGCGCAGGGCTTACCCCCGCTACAGCCTTGCTATAAAATGTGTTGCGACTGGGTACGCGAAATTTTATTCGAAACATTTTGCCCCTGTTTAATCAAACCCAAGATGGCGGAAACGGAAGAGGAGAAACGGAAACGAATTTTGATGGAGGAGAAGGCTAGGGAAAGGAAAAAACTGAGTTACAAGCTCGGAAAATGTTACAAAAAATTTTGCTTCTTCTTGATTCCAGGGACCCTGGCCCACGAAGTGTTCAAGAGTTTCGCGGGGTTCAGTTTGGGATTGATCTTGACGACCGTGATGTTTTGGTACATAGCGTTGGAGTTAAAGTTTAGCCTGTTCTATATAACCGGGTTTTGCATGGTAATCGGATTTTTTCTCACCATGGGCCTGGCATTCGTTCCCGATTTGAGATGCCTCTTCATGCTTCTCATCCCGCAATTCTTCACTAATCAAGGTTTTTTTGTTCAAATCATTTTCTTTTTATCCCCCTATAGTTAATTTTTTTTCTCTCTTTCCTATTTTATATGTGTGAGGGAAAATATCTGATTTTTGTAAACATTATAGCGAAAAAATTGCAGAAAATAAACATTTTCTAACCCAATTTAAGTGTTCATTATATAACTATACGTGTTAGCGTCAAGATGTATTTTTCCGGCAATGTATTATTTATTCAACTTTGAAATCATTTTTTTGAGCACTTTTTTATTTTAAAATAATTAAAAAATCTGATTTTACCAGAAATGTATGTGCCCTCATGCTTGGAATATCTACTAGTGTTGTTTAAACGGCTCGTTTTGAGCCGATTTTTTAAAAACGGCTAACTCAATATTTCACTCAGAAAAATATTACGTAAGTCTGAAGATTCTGTTCATAGAAGGAACAAAGGTTCTAGACATCTATCATCGAAATCTTGAGGCTTAGGCACCATTTTTCTGGCTAAAATATTGAGTTGGCCGTTTAACAACACTAATATCTACCCCATGAATTTTTAGACAATTACTTCGTGAACTTATAAACATAATATAATTTATTATTAAACTTTTCCCCATTATATTATTTTTTAATATATAAATTATAAATGGCCACAAAAAATATCGGTAAAGTTATTTACGATTCATGAGATAAGGGATTATTTTCTAAACATGTTTTCAATACAATTCCGGTATAATCAAAATTTTAAATTTTAAAAAAATACGCGCCCAAAAAACGATTTAAAAGTTCAAAAAAGTAATACATTGACGCTAACATATATAGTCAATTTATTCTTTTATTGTAAGTTTTTAATTAAATTATCCTAAAATATTTACAAATTTTATTTTGTGGGAGTGAAACTCTGGGAATTCTTAAAGAATTTAGACTCCCTAATCCCTCTGGGGACACCACTGCCCCCCCCTGCGCGCGAATATTTTTTAATTAGGAATTTTATGGGATTATACTCTCTTTCGAATAATGTGGAGTGGAACGCTTAAATTCACGATGTATACACTTAATCATAAAAATCCCAGGTATTATATTTCTAAATAGGTTTTGGAGAATTCCTCGTCTATCCCTCTTCACCGACTGTCCATGCACTCGTGTATGCATTCATATTCATTTGTTTGTTTGTTAATTCATCTATTAAACTTTTCTCGTATTTATATTTTCATTTTTTTAAAATCTTCCAAAAAAAAAATATATATATATATAAATTAGGAAAAGGTTTGATATTAGGTTACGCCTTTATACTGGTCATGAACGGACCGGCCCAAAATATAGCCAGAAACACTCAACTATTAACTGCCAGTCTCGCTTGCGGTCAATCGCTCATCAAAAACATAACGGCGGAAATAACCGGCGAAGCCATGGCTCCCGTCAAAGGTCATTTATTTAATAAAAGTCAGCATTGTTATTTATTTTGTTTGAAAGCAAAAAGTAGCAATCAACGCATCATAACCTCAGCCAAGATGTTCCTGATGGGGGGGGGGGTCTATTAAGGTTTGAGGTTTTCCATAAATTTTATTAGAATGGCTTTAAGTTTCACTTATGGAATTTTTGACTAACGCCTATTACACTTTCGAATAACTTTAATAAAATTGATTATTTTTTCACGTTCCCTCTTTTTTATGGTTAAAATGCCTTATTAAATTATATACAAAATCTTATTTATATTTATAAAAAAAAAAAAATTTTATCGGTGGTTTTAGGCATGGTGAACAAGATAAAAACCATCATAAATAAGGTCGTCAAAGTCGTTGAAAGGGGTAAAAGGGCCTTTTTAGCTATCAAGGAATTATTCGCGGAGATATGCAATTCCCTTCAAAAGGTGGGAGCTTGGTTGGGCAAAATATTCGGCGTTTGCAACGCTAAAATGGGCGCCCCTCACGATAAGTGCATGAGGGTCTTCCAAGAGGCCTACGACAATTGCATGAGAAAGTTAAAGGTGGCCAAGAAGCTTTGCAAGATTACGACCTCGTTCAGGTTCGCCTGCAAGATAACGAAGCATCTCAATCGATTCTGTAACCCGCTAGAGAGGCTTAAAAATTTTATGGTCGGCAAAATTAAGAAGGGACTGTCCAAGGCCGTTCAGAATGTTTACAATCTTTTCTACTTAAATATTACGAGTAAGAAATGTAAATCATTTAAATAGATTTTTTTAAAAATATGGATAGGAAGGGAAGAATGATATTGTTATGAGAGATTCGGTTCTGGATTATACTTATTTAACACTACGCTCTGAACCGCTGCCATTATTCAATAATTTGGACAATTTAGCAAGCATAAAATATGATAACATCTAAACATAGTAGTCCATTTAAGTTCTATTAAATTCACGTCAAAATGATATAAAGTTATTTAATTTTATCTTATTATAATACATATACTTTTAGAAAAAAAAACAATAGACATAGATCTAAGATGGTTGTCACTAGAACCCTTTTAAATTAGCCGGGATTCAGTGGGCGCTTAAAATTAAAAAAAATATATTTAAAAAATCAATATATTCGTTACTCATTTGTTTTTGCGCGCTAAAATTTGTATTTTTCCATATTTTTTGAGGGAACTCTTAAAATTTTGAAGTGACTAGTTTCCCTAATACCCACCCCCTTTACTTAGTGACGCCACGAATGCAGCATAGAAAATGCGATCCAGAACGACTTATTAAGATAATTTTTTTAAAAAGTTGTTTAATAATGCCTTCCTCTCATTGAATTATTTACGATTATATCGTATATAAATAAGAATCCTTGTGCCGACATGACACAATCTGATCAGAACCAAACTTCGGTCTCGGGCGGGCGGAAATTTTTCTCGAACTCGGTGCGGTTTGAGATTCTAAAAAATTTTAAGGTCAGGCCCGACTTTATAAATATTTTGAAAAATTTTTTTTTTTTTTTTAAAAAAGTGTATATGTTTAGCGTCAACAATGTGTTATTTTTTACTACTTTATAAATCATTTTTTGCACGGATTTTTTTAAATTTAAAAATCGAATTTTTACGAAAATGTATTCCATTATGTTTGGAAATACCTATCTTATGAGAATCGTAGACAATTTTGCAATTGACCTTTGAAGTTATATTTTATATTTAAAAAAAAATATATGGAAAATCTAATATAAATTATCAGAGTTGTTAAAGGATCTAGATACAAATATCTAGATATAAAAATGGGGTATCTGTATCTAGATAGATTTTTGATCAAAATATCTGTATCTAGATATTATTTTAGACGATGTATCTGTATCTAGATCCATTTAAAAAGTATCTTTTAACAACTCTGTAAATTATATTAGGTTTAAAAAAATTCGTGGAAAAATTGTCCGAAATTCATGGAGTAGGTATTCCAAACATGATGGAATGTATTTCTGGTTAAATTCAAAATTTTAAATTTTAAAAAAAACACGCTTCAAAAAATGATTTAAAGTTTAAATAACACATATAAGATTTATACATATTCATATTTTCACTATATAATTTCTCACTCTACTTATAAAAAATGGTATACTTCCTATACAGTCTAATATTTTGGTTTGATTTGTTTTTCGTAGATGGAAAACTGAATCGAACTTATATTTCATAAAATTAGGGTTGGGATTGGAATGGATTCTGATCTTGGATCAAGATGGAGCTCAATAAATTAGCATATAATATCGTAGCTTACATATTGAATTCTAGTTATACTCAAAAAATTTTAACATTTAAGTCCTTTATAAGTGTAGGTTTTAATTTTTAAAAAAAAATTTATAAAAAAAAGTCTCTTATTTCTATTGAGTTGTAGTGAAGGATGTGTATATAGTAATTATTACCCCTCCTATATATTTTAGATAGCTTTACCCTAAAATTATCAATCAATCAATTTTAAGTTTATACAATTGATTTTTCCAATAAACTCTCCTAATATATTAATTAAAGTTAATCCCAAATTTTTATGACAAATTTATCTGAAATTTATGGGGGTAATACATTCAATTCCAATATCTCCTACGACATATATTCATTTATTTTGCGAAATTTGTGTTTTGATGATACATAACCCAAACGCCTACTTAGCTATATCCACTCTTATTTATTAGCTGAAAATTCTTTAATCTCTCCCAAAAGTTATTTTTTTTTAAAAAAATTATCTCTTTGAACCTATCATTGATTTAAAATTTTTTACAAATTTTTTGTTCCTAAATGAGAACGCTTATAAATTTTAAAGCAAAAAAAAATTAAAAATATTTCCCTACTATATAAAAAAAAAAAAATAACATCAATTATCCACAACAAACGAGAACAGTTCAATACCACTTCAATCTAACTGTCAGTCAGTCCAAAGATTTCGAAGAGATCAAGAGAGATATCACGAACGCCATCAAAGATAAAATACAGGTATTCCTGAATTTAGCGAACGCGTGCGAAAGCGTACTAGCGTTGGCCATACTTCTGTCCTTGTTCAAAGCGTGTTCTTACAGGAAAAGGTACCTGTGTACGGACGCTTTCGATAATTTATACATCACGTCGAGGTTCAGGGACATCGACGATAGGCGCGAAAAAATGGGGAAGGACAACCTATTGCCACTCAAATGGAGAGAGAAATGGACTTACATAGGCTCCTATTCCCTGCGGATGACGGGGGGCGAGTTGGGAAAATTTTTGATAGGCCTCATATTCTATCTGTGCGCGGTTTTTCATCTGATTTTCTATATGGTCGCGGATTACTCCATATATTGGATGCTATCGTTGTTGCAGGGTCATGCCGATGTCAAGGCATCCGATTATCGTAAAAAAATTATATTATTATATATATATATATATATGTGGTTAAACGAGAGTGTCATTTTTTTTTAGCTTTAAATCATTTTTCTGGGACCGTTTTTTATAAAATGTAAAATCCTAATTTTACAGAAATTTATTCCAGAAAGTTCTAATGCCCATCCTAAGAATTTCAGACAGACTCTTACGTCAAGAATGACTAAACATAATGACATGTAATAATACCTAGACCGACGACGCATTTATAAAGCATTTGAAAGCGTCTTTGAATGCGAATCAGCTGGAGCCGCCATTTAATTATTCTCATGTTTAAAAAACTACTATTGAATTGATAACTTGCTTCCTTGTTATCTCGATGATCAGGCAATTCTTTAATAAAGTTTGTGCGTTGGACAGAGGAATAGATTGGCCCACTCGTTTAAAATTTTTTAATAATGATATGACTAATCAATATGGCGTCTCCAGCTGGTGGACGCTTTTATAATGAATACATCGTCAGTCTAGGTATTTTTATTATTATGTCAAGAATGTCTAAACATTTAAATTACTTTCGTTTTTTTTTTCTCCTAGATATTTATTTTAATTTAATATAATTTCTATAATCAGATTTTTAAAAATTTTTAAAAAAAAACACGCTCATAGAATGATTTAAAGTTTAAAAAAAAACAGAAAAAAAAAGACTGGTGAACATTTGCCAAGAGTTGCGTTTTTTCCCCCACGTTACGTTTAAAAAATGTATACTACATTTAAAAAGTTGTTGCATTTTCTAACGCTATGATTATATAAGGCAGTGGCGTAGCTACGGTGGTGGTCTTCGAGTATGGACCCCTCCCAGAGCTAAACCTTTTTTCTAGATTATACGTTCAATAGACTTAAAAGTGACTTTATATTAAATAAATGCTATTAATATTTATATTTTTCTGGTTTTGATGTTTGTGGAAGGATATTATATTACTATTGAAATTATTCTGGATAGTATTATTATAAAGTCATTGAGAAATAATCTACTAAATTGTAATAACATATTATTGATGCATTTAAAAAAATATATTTATTATATATTACAGAAGATATGGTTATGATTTGTAAGATTAACTCCGGCCGAAGGCCGGAAAAAGGGCCGAAGGCCCGTTAAAGGGGGTCTGATAGACTACCTCTAGGAAAAATTTCTAGCTACGCCACTGATATAAGGTAATAATTTTTTATTTTATTTTACATTTTATATCTTATACTATAGTGTTGTTAAACGGCTCGATTTGAGCTGATTTTTAAAAACAGCTAACATGGTACAAACGTTTAAACATTTATTAGCGAGCTAGGGCTTAGGGAATCTTTTTCTGGCTAAAATATTGAGTTAGCCGTTTTTACAACACTATTTTATACTTGTAAACTAATATTATAATAATTTGTAGCCCAAATAAATTTTTTTTTAATCTTAGAATAACATTATTCAGGTAACAACACACGAACACCATTTTATACTTGTAAGCTAATATTATAATAATTTGTAGCCCAAATAAATTTTTTTTTAATCTTAGAATAACATTAAGCATTATTCAGATAACAACACACGAAATCCTATTCAGTGTGATAATATACATAAGGTTAAATATTTTTAAAAAAAAAAAATCATTTACGTTTAGATGGCAACCAGTTTTACCTTTTTCCTATCTTTTAACATTATAAATTTTTTTGACCCTTTTTTAAACGCAATCGGAGAAACGGGTATTAAATGGGAGGTTACATAATATATATATATTTTATAAAAGTTTGTTTCCTTTAAACATTTAATTTTTAAACAAAAGAAAGAAAGAAAGAAAGAAAGAAAGAAAGAAAGAAAGAAAGAAAGAAAGAAAGAAAGAAAGAAAGAAAGAAAGAAAGAAAGAAAGAAAGAAAGAAAGAAAGAAAGAAAGAAAGAAAGAAAGAAAGAAAGAAAGAAAGAAAGAAAGAAAGAAAGAAAGAAAGAAAGAAAGAAAGAAAGAAAGAAAGAAAGAAAGAAAGAAAGAAAGAAAGAAAGAAAGAAAGAAAGAAAGAAAGAAAGAAAGAAAGAAAGAAAGAAAGAAAGAAAGAAAGAAAGAAAGAAAGAAAGAAAGAAAGAAAGAAAGAAAGAAAGAAAGAAAGAAAGAAAGAAAGAAAGAAAGAAAGAAACGTATAAACTATATTTATATGTAGTAGATAAAAATAATAATGTCTCTTTTATTTTGAAGATTTTAGACCTATTTTAGTAATATGATGATTGTTATTTCAGACTATATTGTTGGACGATTAATTTACCTAATAGAGGCCAACCGAAACCGGTATAGACTGCCCCACAATCTAGAAGAATAGTCGCCTGCATTCTGATCAAGTTTTAGAAATCAAAATGGAAACTAGCTCATTTTGTCGGTTCCAATCGTTCTCTTCGGTTGGTCAGGGCCCACTTCTAGCAAATAAAACGGCCATTTTATTTATAGCTTTATCTGAATGCAGGCAGGCTGAAACGGGTTTTGAACCTGTTTGATTAAACACTTCTAAACTATAATCTTTTATAAGTTCCTCACAAATTGAAGATAGACATAGAGGGCAAAGGCATGCTCGCGAACATGTACAAAGAAGTCGTTGGCTCCTTCGAAAAGATGGGGCATTCGGTGAGCCAGGTGGAAACGAAAACGTGTATACCGCTACCCTACGAACCCGATTATGATGTATATCCAATCATTTGTAAGCGAAAAAAAAAATCTATGATAAGAGATATTATATTGTATTAAAGAGAGATTTCGAGGCTAGCACCTTAATCTAAGTTTCATCTCTTTGCGGGATCTTAATTCCATTGAATCCTGAATTTCTCATCAAACTTATGACATCTTTCACTGACAAAATTTATAATATACCCATAAATTATGAGAAATTGCACTTTCGTGAGTTTTTTGAGAGACGAAACTTATCCCGAAACTTCCATCAAATTTTGAAAATACATATTTAAATTCTCCATTTAAAAATATTCAAAATGTTTGACGCGAAATGATTTTATTAATTCTTTATTTTTATATTAATTATTCGATATTTTTCCGTAAAAAATTTCACTAATTGCTAAAATTTTAAACGATTAAAAATGATTAAAATTTTCACGAATTCGTAAAACTTTTATGAATCATAAGAACATAGGTCATAATTTTAAATTTTACATTTAAAAATGGTTTATATATTTTTTTTTCCTTTCGAATTCGCGTTTTGTACTTAGGACATAGCCTTAGCTTTGATCTTCTGGTATCATATTATTCTCTAATATTAACATAGCCGTAACTAAGGGGGGAAGTAGCATTATGAATGAGGGTAAGATCGCTTCAAAAATTTTATCTTTCACCCAACCCGTCCAATCTTCCCATAGGAAATTTTGCACATTTGCTATTTTTTTTTAGGCTGTATCCTAAATGTTTTGAAAAAAAAAATCTCAAAATTTAATAAATTTTCCCAAATTGATAAAATTATATTACGAAAAATTAAACATATTTAAAATTACTTTAGTTTTTTTTTATAAAAATTACCCAAAAATAAATTAATTTTATTCCCAAATTTATTTAAATTTCTATTAATTTTTATTAAATGACGAAAAATTGATTTATAAAAACACTATTTTTATTTTTTCTTCAAAAATTGAATAAATTTTATTTATTTAATATATATATTTTTTTTTAGATTTAGGACACATCCTTTAGTGAATCGCGAATTCGATCAATTATTCCAAATTATATATTTTTTTTTAGGTTAATGATAGTCACTACTTTACAGAGTTGTTAAAGTATCTAGATATAAAAATGTGGTATCTGTATCTAGATAGATTTATGATCAAAATATCTGAATCTAGATATTATTTTAGACGATGTATCTGTTCTAGATCCATAAAAAGTATCTTTTAACAACTCTACTACTTCATTACCCTATCAAATTTATATTTTGTTTATTTTTCATTTAGATAGGCACTACCAAATTTATTTATAATATATATTTAAATAAAATCGTGATTTTTGGAAAGCGCATCTGTGGCCTAGGCGGCAAGAGCCTAGCTTAACAATCCGACGGTTATGGGTTCGAATCCCAGCAATGATCATTTTTTGTTCTTAATCTAACTTGGTGGTTCCGTCCTTGGGGTGATGATATATAATAATCCGGACTCGATCACGTGATCCCTTTATAATATTACGTTAAATAATAAGGGTCTTTGTCTTATTTTAATAAATTTTGGTGGGTAATTTTAGCAAATTTGGTTGGTATTTAAAAAATTGCTGTACGTCGACTTGGTAGTGACTATGTCATTAACCATTTTTTTAATATAATAAAATCAAATTGCAAAAATAAATATTACCCTAATTGAAATTCTAAGCTGCTCATTCGCGAATCCTATTTATTAAAAAAAATGGCGGATTCAGCTGGACCCGCCATTTTGGTAACCCATATAGTAATTATATCTTGCTTCCTTATTATCTCGATGATCAGATAATTATTTAATAGTGTTTGCGTCAGACAGAGGAATGAATCGGCCTCTCGTTTAAAATTTTCAATAATGATATGGGTAATCAAAATGGCGTCCCCAGCTGATTTGCATTGATGTACACTTTTAATGAATGAATCGTCAGTCTAGGTATTATATATGTCATTGTTTTAATTTTAAACCAATCAGAAAAAAACTTCCTCGAAATATGATATTACTGTCATGTTTATCATTTTATATATATATATATTTCATACAAATATTTCCATCCCATCGTTTTATTTCATATAAATATCAATATCAAAAACCAATATTACATCCAATAGCGTCAATGTGTTTTTTCCGGCAATGTGTGATTTTTTTTAAAACTTTAAATCATTTTTTAAGAGCGCTTTTCTTAAAAAAATTTAAAAATCTGATTTTAACCGGAAATGTATGATCTCATGTTTGGAATACTTACTACCCTATAAAATTTAAGATAATTTTGTGTCATTAACTTTTTGAACTTATTATGATTTATATTCGTTTTCCCCAATGACATATATAATACCTAGACTGACGATTCATTCATTTAAAAGTGTACATCAATGCAAATCAGCTGGAGACGCCATCTTGGTTACACCTAATCATTATTAAACTTTTGAACGAGAGCCTAATTTATTCCTATATCTGATGCAAACTTTATTAAAGAATTACCGGATCATCGAGATAAAAAGGAAGCAAGTTATCAATTCAATAGTAGTTTTTAACATGAGAATAAATTACTATACGTGTTACCAAAATGGCGGGTCCAGCTGATTTGCTTTTAACGACGCTTAAAGATCCATTTTGATGAATGAATCGTCAGTCCAGGTATTATATATGTCATTGAATTAAAATGGCCACCAAAGTAAAGGAATTTATATTTGTTTATAAAAAGCAATTGTTTATAATTTTATTTTTTTTTAAATTTCAGGAAATCTCAAAATAAAAAATTGAATATAAATGTCGACATGTTTTCATATTCCGATAGAAAAAAATTTTATTTATCTAATTTAGGGGTGTGTGTCCTAAATCTGGTTTGAAAATTTGCAAAAATAAAAAAAATTACTTTCTAAAACTTTTTACATTTTAATCAAAACATATGTTAAGGTATTTTTGAAATACCTAAAATTTTCTTGAATTATGTTTAGGACACGTTTTTGTTTTTATATTTAAAATTAGATTATTTCTTTTTTTTTTTGTTTAAAGGTATATTAAAAGTTTCGTAGTTTAATTTTTATATTTAGGCCACAGCCTTAATAAAAATTAAATTCATAAACCTTAAAATGAAAATAAATAAATAAGCTATTTTAAATATAATAATAAAAACATGCCCAATAGTATAATTTCCAGAAAATTATTTAACCTAAAACGATTTCTCTTTAAAATTTTAAGATTTCCAAAACTTTTAAATTTTTTAGAAAAAAAAAAAAATTTTTTTTAACATGGCCTAATTAATGTATATATTTATTTTTTTTACAAGGTGCTACACTATTAGTAGTTTTCTTCTTGGTAATATTCGAATCGTACGGATTGAGATTGCGGCATATCATATGCGATTTCTATTACCCTCAAAGGGCTAAACAACGCGGAATTTACTTGTACAACCAGATCACGCTAAAGAGGAACAACGTGCTGGGATTCATGAGGACCCAGATCGAGCAAACGTCCGACACGGAGGAAGACAAAGTCGACATACGAGATAAATTGGCCATGCAGTTATATATATTATTAAATACAAATATATTTATCAATTGAATATGCAGTAGTGCACTCATTAACAATTATTTTTCATTGAAGTGATATATTTTTGGAGATGGGTAAATGCTTAGATTTATTCCCCATCCCAAATATTTTCCAACTTGAAAGATACGTGAAGGCAGCGACCCGAACATCCAATCAGGTAAAAGTTGACAATGGCCGTGATGAAAAATAAAAAAAAATGGAGGTGAATTTTATGAACGTTGATTTAAAATGTCATTTGTTATTTTTCCCCACCCTTTATAACACGCGAGAATTATGGTGGTATATACGAAGATATAGAGACAGCGTTATCGTGAGTGGAAAAATTTTGGGAAACAACACTGGTAGATTTATCCCCTACCAAATTTTTTTCGCAATTAACCAACCCTCTTGGGTGCTTCTCTAGAGACAAATAATTGCTCTTAACTCCCTCACCTCCCTCTCTTCCGTTCACGTAGAAATTGGTTTGAGATCGTGTTTTATCTCGTCAATATTCCCAATATAATTAATGAATGAGGAAGTTGGGTACGGATTAATGCATCATTTTTAAATTTTAAAATAGACGAGTTCCGTTATAAACTCCGCTAACTATGGGTAAAGTCGGGAGCAAATATTAGCGCAAATCACTAGAAAAAAAAGGAGTAAATATTTCCTTCTTATACTAAATTTAGTAAAGCTGTGATTAACAAATAAGATATCGCTGTTTGCGCGTGTTGTTCAAATGCTTGGGTTATGAAAGGAAATATTGCAGCACCTGCTGCAAACCTGGTCACAAGAACGACAACGAACGATTCAAGGAATGCATGAATTCCACCTGTTTGATGGTGTACTGCAAGGAATGCGTAGCGGAATCGAATAACATCTGTAACTTGTGCCTCATGCCCATAGAACCGATCGAAGGAGATCACAGTGAGGAAATGTATGAATCATATTATAACCCCCCTTTCTTACTTAAAATATCTAATTTTTTTGTTAAAAAAACAAAATTTAATAATTCAGCGATTCGAGCGACGAAGAGGAATATAAGAAAATCAGGAACAAAAAATATTCCAGCCAGGGGTCCCCGGAAAAATCCTCTAACATCGAAATGATGGCATGACATGACATTTGTTGTTAATTGCTAAAGGATTTTTCTAATTTAAAGAATTTATAAAAGACGGGGAAAGATCTCTGAAATAATAATTAAATCCATGAAACTATCAATGAATTTTATTATTTTTTAAAAAAACACTTCCATTCATACAGCATGGGTGTTGAGAGCGGAATGAATTCCGATCCTGAAATGGCATGATCCCGCGGAATTTATTTTTAAAGATTTAAAAATATTTATCAGAACTTCAAAATTTCGATGTAATAATAAAAAAAAAATCCTTTTTATAAAATTTATATATATATTGCCGATTGAGTATTATAATGTTCCATGTCCATTTTGTAGTGGAAAATACGTATATTTTTATCTCCCTAGATAAATAAATTATTCAAGCTTTAAAAATTATTCATATCAATAACAAAAATGTGAGCAAATCTTGGGCGACCTCTAAATTTTGAATAGAGCATTCTACCCAAAAAGCCGCTAAGACTAGGAAGTCTTTAAATTATAGCTTTTGGATTAATGGCACATTACTATTTTTTTCTATTCAGACAGCCATTTAGAAATTTCTAGATAGAAATGTGAAGGGATAGGATCCAGTCTTAGAAAAAAATTTTCCCTGCGTAATAATTTGCGAAAGATTATTGTCATTGTCATCTTTTTTTTTTAAACTAATAATCAGAATATACATTATATAGTTTCTTCTTTCTATCGATGATTCAGAAACTTGGGATTCAGACTCGAAAAACTATTCGTTTTACTTTCTAATTTTTCAGCCTCCCCTAATTTATATAAATATTTATTAACTATTCCTACTATTAGTGTTGTTAAACGGCTCGTTTTGAGCCGGTTATGACGGCTAACTCAATACTTCATCCAGAAAAATATTACCCAAGCATGAAGATTTTACTAAGGAACAAAGGTCTATACATATATTGTCGAAATCTTGAGGCTTGGTCGATATTTTTCTGGCTAGAACTTTGAGTTAGCGGTTTTTAAAAATCGGCTCACAACGAGCCGTTTAACAAAACTTACCTTCTACCTTATGTACTGCAGAAGATGGTAATAAGTAAAATTAAAACATGACTTCGGAATACTAAGAAAGATCCTTTTTCTTAATAATCTAACCATTTTATCGATGGAGAACAAAATTTATTCAAATTAAATACTGACGAAATTATAAATTTCACTTTTTCTTACCCAAATCTGTCAAAATTTATTTTAAGTATATATTTTTATTTATACTATATACTAAAGATCGATGCCATAAAAATATTTTTGAAATTTGTAATTGAAGTTGGGCGAGTCAAAACTAAAATTAACTACTTTTTTTAGAGGGTATTTTTTCGGTGGGGGGGGGGGTATTCTGATTCGATCGCTCAGAAAGCCTAGGGGCCATCTCTAATAATGAGAATATAAAGCTCAAATCACGTGATTCATTAAAAACGGGATTTTTTTATTTTACAAAATAAACTTTTCCATTATCCATATTCTAATATTATATCATTGTGTTGATCTATTTCCATATTTTCTGGATATTATATGTTGTACTATAATTTGGGTGTAAGTCATATTTAGCATAATGTTCCATCTCCACTTTGAAAAAAAAATCAATTTTCCAGGAATACCATCAGGAACCTTTACTGGGAGAGGAAAGAAAAGAGGGGGGGGGGGGAGTTATGACCCAAGGTAGTCATCGAAATTGGACGAGGGGTAGATAATTATAGTCATCTGAATGAAATTGGAAAATGGCAGAGGGTAGTTTTAATTTATATTTCCTTTTATGCTGCTAATTTTGATAAGAAGGTCGTCATTGACTTACTTAGGAGATGTAATATTTTCTGGATACTAACAAGGTTAAATTCATAAGCATAATCTATAGTTTCGTTGGAGAAGTGCTTTCAAAATTCAAAACATGGGAAAAATAGTATTTTATTAGAATTTAATTTTAAAGTTATGATTTAATTCTAATGACATAATGTCACAACCTTTCAAATAGATAGTGTTGTTAAAAAACCCGATGATTTGGTAAATATGAGTCCAAGCATTTCTGCCAGCTATGAGCAAAATCTTTAGACTTACACAATGTTATTTTGGTTATAATCTTAATCGGGCCGTTTTTTAAAATCGACGCAAATCGAACTTTTTAACCACACTACTACTTTCAACCATTTCCGGGAATATGGAGTAAATTTATTCTGTTTTCATAAGAATCCCCAAAATTCCCCCCCCCCTCCTCCTCAGTTGTTATCCAATGATCACTCATTTTAAGAAAAAAAATCGATATTTAGATACATTCTTAAATATACAGATGCTCCTTTTAAAATATTTTTAAAGCTTTCAATTTTGACCCATACTCATTGCCGGCACGAATGGAAAATTAATCTTAAAACTATTTTTATATTAAAATTTTTAAATTTATTTTTGTAAAAATTCATCTAAATTTTTTTTAAAAAAACGAGAAAGGAAAGTTTTTAAATCTTTTAATTTTGTCCTATACTCATTGTCGGCACCAATAGGAAAATCAATCTTCAAAAATTTATTTTTAAATTTTTAGCCTTGCATTAAAAGGTTATGAAATTTATTTTTGTAAAAATTCATCTCAATTTTTTTTTAAAACCGATAAAACAAGGAAAGGAAGGTGCCCCTTAATTATTTTTTTTCCCTTTTTAATTTAATTTACTTTTTCATTTGATAATATTAAACGAATTATACCATTAATTCTCCCAATAAATACAACACGTGATTTTCCGGAATCAGCTGTTACCGGATACCGTATTCGGCTAAAAAAACCCAAATCTTATTTATTTTTTTTCACATTTATCGATAAAAACAAAGTTAATAATAATTACTAACATACAGTGCTTATTAATCTTTAATCATTTGTTTTTAAATCAGATATTTATTGCAAGCATTGGAAGATAATAATAATAATATAATAATTCAAAAAAATAAAACTATTACACTCAAAATATCACAAAAAAAAATAAAAAAATAAAATTTTTTTTTTTAAAAATGTTTATTTAGCGTGTATTTCTTTATTTTGCGGGGAAGTCGGTTGTTTTTGGAGGGAAAGAATGGCTTGAATTTTCATCTGAATAACATCTTCTATACCTTTATATTCGTAAATAAAATTTTTTTTATTTATTATAAGGAAATATTTGGGTTTCGGTCACCCAATAGAATTTCATCATTGGTGTACCAGCTCGGCGGTAAAATTAACCCCCCGCCCCTTAAAAAAAATAACTCCCTATTCTTCATTTTTTTTGCCAGATTGAGCATCACAATCAGAGATTTGCAATGCCCGGACCAGTATAAACGGGCCGGGCAAAATATACATTAGATGAGTTATGATTATTTGATAGAAGTAGTAATCCAGAAAGTAGAGCGTTTTTTAATTTAACCGCCACTCCCCAAGATTATACAAATATATGTTTATTTTTGGGGTGTTCACAGCTGGGCCGGGCATGAATCTAATTACCACAGGACAAGGGATCCTATCATTTTGCAGAACCTTCTAAACATATGATCTAAGTTATTGCCGAACATTTAAGATGAGAATATTCCTTTTAGGCTTTAAAAAAAAATTGGGACCGAGATCGGGAACGTTTTACAAGCCTAGATTTTACTCTCTCTATTTTTTTACCATCAGCATGTAATGGAAAAAAAAATCTATCGAATTTTGCAGGTCACCCTAAAGTTCTTGGCTACATTCCAAAAAAAACAGGGGCATTTTGGCCATTTTAGGCCTGGGTGTTTGCCAACCAGTACAAACCATTGACATTAGTGCTCTGTTTCATCGTTAAGACCAGCCACCTAGAGTATACATACATAACTGGAAAAACGATTTCATAGCTGTCATTCCCTGCATGATCTTGATGGGAATGCCAATCCTGCCATTCAACTTGTCACTACCAAATTTCTTACTAGAATCATCATTAATAATTTTATTATATCCTTTATCAAATTTAGAATATTATTTTTATACTTTAGTTTACTTTCGAATTTAAGTTTGTTAAAATTTCTTCACTGATTATCCCAACTTATTTCTATTCTTCATCTAAATACTCCAGCAGAAATTGTGCCCAGAGGTCACTTACGAGATTAGCCAAATATCCATGTATAAAGAACATCCTCCTCATAATTAGATAGTGTCACTAGTTTGTTGATAAATTAAAGCTCCTCACATTTTTTAAAATACAAGTGGCAAAAAAAAACCTTGTATAAGCTTATAATTTTTCTCACAAATGTGCTTAATTTTCACTAAATGTTCAGTCATCAAATTAGAGTTTGTTTATCTATCCTTTTAATATTATGTTTTCCAACAAAAGATGAGAACATATCTTTTAGTTCTGTTAGTAAGAATAATTCTAAAATACACTCACTTAACTAGTGTCATTAAGTGGCTCATTTAAGCTGATTTTTTAAGGATAACTTAATATTTTAACCGGAAAAATATTGCCTAAGCTTTGAGATTTGCCTAATAGATGTTTATATATGAGCAAAATATTAAGGCTTCCATAATACTTTAATAGATAAAATATTGAGTTAATCATTTTAAAAATAAGGTTATTTCGCAAAATCTTGGCTACTCATGTTATAATATATAAAAAATATATTATTCAATGGTATATAATAAGAAAGGTTTAATAAAAAAAAATTATCTCATTATACAATAGTTGAAAGTGGATTTACCTTTTTTGAGACTTATTTTGTCATTTAATGCAGGTTTAAATTTATCTAATTGTCTGCTAATAAAATCCATTTTTCTTTTAAAATAATCTTTTGCTTCTTTGACATCCTTTAAAATAAAACAATTTTTGCATATTTATACAGTGATAAGTATAAACCTTTTCTATATAATATCCTGTTCCGATATCTATTATCAGTTTTGTAGGTAATTTGATCTCACCATTCACATATAACTAAATAAATATTTAATTTTGAATTTATATTTATATAATTTATTACACTTTGCGTAAGAGGTACCATAGCCATTTGTGATTCCGCCTTAATTTTGCCTAAATATTCTACAGAATTTAAGGAATTTTGCAATTTTTTGAGAGCAATTTCTAGTTGTTCAAATGAATGGGTTAAATATTCAATATCCTGGATATACAGATATTAGTAAACATATGATAAACTATTTAATACGGCATCGATGTTCTCCCTCAAACCATCCAGCTGAGGTATTGTCAGTTGTGTTAAATTTACCACTTGTGGATTATTAGATGTCATTTTTTAGGGGAAAAAAAAATATTTTAGCTGACAGCTGTTTAAAAAATTACTTAATTTTCATATCATATAATTAGTTCCTGCTAAGCGATGACCAGTTAACATTTCAATCATAGAAAACTAGATCGTTAATTTTAATATCATAGCCTAAGTTTCATAACACTTAAGTTTCCTGGTTTATTTTAATAAGCTGTTGTTCATAAATTTTAAATCGAATTAAAATATTTTAGATAGACAGCTCAAAAAGATAGAGAGCATATATCCCTTTTAAAATATTTTGATATATTTAAATCGTGATACTAGTTTCTATTCATAAATTGGTAGAAAAAGTATCCCATTTCTTGAAAAAAAATTAGATAGGGAAAGACAAAAATTAGTAGCTACTTTTTTGTAAAAAATGTTTAGATAAATATACTAGCTCATTTTTATCCTTCTCACTCGCACCTTTATTCTCCATCAGCTGGTTTCTGCCTGCTCATTCATCTTTGTTTGATCATCTTTTAATTGTGGTTCCTTATCCCTGATCTTTTCATTTTTTTTTAATATTTCTCACCAAATTTATAGTCAATTGATTTTTCTATATTCATTACCGTTCTTTTACAATATAAAGAACCATCTTATTCTCTAATCTTCCATGCGCTTATGACCTACCTCATTTCCACTCAGACATTTGTATGCTTTTTGATTCACTATTTCTGATTCTAATACTCTATTTCCCTTATTACTTGGAATTTTCACCCTTTGCGTTTCACTATTCCTGGTTTACCATTTTCACTTTATGTATTAAATCTATCCTCATGATTATTCACTGGACCAATTATTTTGGCCAATTTCACGTTCTGAAATTTTTCACCTTTTTAATCAATTTTTCCTAAGTCCGAAAATAGATTTTTCTCCTAATTAACATTCTGACACATATTTTTCCCATTAATATTATTCCCCTTATACAGACGCGTACCCAGCAAAGCTAAAAAATGCAGATGCCGGAATATATTTTTCAAAAATATTGTTTATATTAATATATTAGTTAATTTATATTCCTATCTCATATTAAATATATATTTAATTACATTAATATCACATTCATCAACTAGGTTATTTTATCAATTAATTTCGATTTCAAGTTTTCCAGCGTAATATTTACTTATTATTTTCAAATTTTTAGTGGCGTAATATTTATCTACCATTTTCAAATTTCTACCAAATAATAATTATTCTGAAATTGTCCAACAGGCAGAAAGAAATTGCAACCTTGTCCAAAGAGATAGAGTCTCCGCCATCAAGCAGTAACAGCTTTTATGGAGTAATTGAGCCAATTATTTGCTATTACTGAAATATCACATTGACCTGAATGAAATATTTCCTCAGAAGCAAGAAAATTATTGGATTCAATGCTTATTCCAAATTTTTTTTCTCATTAGAATGTATTATTTAATTATACAACTATTTTATCTATTACTTTTCAAAAACATGACATTGACTTGATTAAGAAGATGAGAATAGAGGAGAGAATTTTATTAGAATTTAAGGAAATTAGGGCTAATGTTGATGAAGAATTTTTTGTTATTGTTAAGTTAAAAGCAGAACGTGTTTAATATGTGTCTCCCTCGATTTGCAGCAAGACAAGCTCATAGTTAAACCATTAATATAGGATCAGTACAAGAGTATATCTTAGATACAGATACATTATAACCCAAATAAATTAATGGTTTTTAATTCATCATGCAGCACTTACCAATCTGCAAATATTATTTCCATAAAAGCCTCCTTAACCTTTTTAAGATGGTGATAGAAAAAAAAATATTTGTTGAATTTTTATCATGAAGATGTTAAAGTATCATATGATGCCTTATTAGCTGAATAACTATGTTTATAAGAAATGCTATGGATGCTCTGTATTATTTCAAACACATTTTAGATTATATTCCCAATGTATTAAAAGGGTTTATATATATTAGCGACTCTTCCCATTAGTAAACTAATGAGAGAACACTTCCTTTTTTAAGGAGAATAACAGAGCCCTGCAGAGATACCATTTGCAGGGCACGGCCCGAATTTTTTTTTAAATTTTTGCGGCTCGGCTCGAGTTTTTATAAAAAAAAATTCAGGCCCGGCTGGCTTTTTTTAAAATCAAATTTTCAGGCCCAACCCAGATTTTTTTAATATAAATTATATTTATTTTTGATTTTTATAGCTAGACAATAACGATTTAAAATATAAACTGTTTTAAAATACAAAGCCCAGACCGGATATTTTTTTTTAAAAAAAATTTCAGTCCCGGCCTGGGTTTAATTAAAAAATATTCGGGCCAAGCCCGGGTGTTTTTTTAAAAAATTTCGGGCCCAGCCCGGCTATATTTAAATACAAGTTAAAAAACCATAGGCATTTGACGACATGAACGAAGATTGGATTTTACGTTGTAAATATATAACATACAAAATACAATTATTCCTAAGAAACATTTTGTGTGGTAATTTATATTTCTAACATTTAAATTTTTTATACTTTATATATAAATTTTTGCGGCTCAAAAAATTCAAATTTTCTATTTGGGTCATTTAAGTGATTCTTTACATATAATTAATTTTTTTTTAATTCACATTAATTTAAAATTGTGTATTAGAAATGAGTTATTAGTCCTAATAAATTTTTAGCTTGAAATTTTTAAAAAACAATAATATTTCTTAAAAAATTTTATTATCTCCCCCCCCCCCCAGACAAAATTCCTGCGTACACGCCTGCCCCGATAACATCAAGTTTCCATATCCTCTCTTCCAATTTCCTTTAAACCGATGTTGTTGACATTTCTTATATGATGAAAATTTCTTCTCTTTCAAAAATATAGTTACTATTTTACACCATTACATTTACTCTAGGGAATCCATTTACCATAATTTAACTTTCAGTCATAAAAATACTCTATAATTCCAATAATCTTAGTTGGTTCGACATTTGACGTTATTATCAATTTATTTTTCTCTACTTCATTCTCATAATCATGGATTTTCCAACATTCATTTTTTTGCTAAAGCCCTTACATCCCTATGCTCACATACGGTCATTATTTTAATTTACTGTATGTCTTATATTTAAACACGTTCTCGTTTTATTACTAGCTTCATTTGCTAACACAATATCGATCGGCACTAATTTCGATATTTCTCACATTCAAATATTGAGTCCTATTTCTCTTTAAGGAAAACCTTACCAAGTTCTATAATCAACATTTGTACAATTGTTTGCTACATGCCATAAAATTCCACAACCAGTGCACATAAAATCCTCAGATTTATTTGTTTATACTCTTATGGTCTACTATCATGCCACCATATTTAAGTATTTTCAAGTCCACATTTTTAGTATCTTCCCTATTTTATTTACACAATTCATTTTAAGCGTCCCAGGTGATCGCAAGCAGTCTGACCATCATATCTATTTTTTAAATTTATTACCAATCAATAGCAATCGCAAACGGTGTTCAATATATATTATTTTATAATGAGATATATCGCAATTTGTCTCCCCATTCCATCTTTTATCTTGCATAAGGTAGTAGCATGTTATGTTTTACCCAGTAAGTCGTACTTTACATTCAATACTCAAGGTCTTACACTTTTGATATCCCCGTTTTACTTAATGTATCATCCTAAATACTAAATTACAAATAAAAAATGATATCACTTTTATTTTTTTAGATATAAAATCTTTAAATATTTAATTTCTACGGGATATTTTATAATCGGGGATGTAATTCCGGGAGAACGGGCCATTGGAACAGGCCTAATTTCCTGCCATATGCTAAATTACTATCAATAATGTAACCACTCCTATAGATTCTGACCTATCCCAGGCTCTACAACAAAAGCTTATCAATCCTCTGTCGTCCTGCCTCCAGAATTCAAAAAGACTGTGATGCTCCATTGATCCTCCGTTCCGTTGAATACCTTATTTCTAACAGAGACATTAAGGAAAATCCCAATAACTTAATATTAAGTGCAAACTCAGGCCATTAATGATTGGAACCATCCCCAGTTAATCTTGGCCCTCCTCATGATTGGCGAACAGCTAAATATATAAAAATCACTCCTTAAGATGTAATGCTGTAGTATTCTCCATTTGCATAGATTGTGGCTAGCAGATCGAATCAAATGCCTACAATCCCTTGCACTGCAAATTCTCTCATAGACGATAACCCTGCCATCATAAATCCATCAACAACATTCTCCTAACTTCCCTCGATTATAATTTCATCCATCCTCGAATCAGTGCGCATTTCAAATGAAAACGCCGTTAACCCTGATGGTATCCCTCATTTCCTGAACTAACGGTCTCCCTCTGACTTGGGATTATACTAGTGTCGACTAAAGTCCGACCTTTCATATTCTGCCATCGAAAAGGCAGAAATCCTTAGAAAACAAATATGCTGGCCTCATCAACACGGTGTTCATACTAATCGTTACCAATACCATAGGCATGTTCGGAAGTGAGGCCCTCAATTTTATCAAAACCATAGGAAAAAAATGGGACAGATCACAGGGGACCCTTTTAACGGATTAAGAATACATTCTTCTCTAGGTAGATAATTTTTAATATATATATTTTTTTAGTTCTTTTTAATGTTTTTCTATATAAAAAAATATAAATATATATATTTTTTTTAATGTAATTTTTAATATATTTTTATTTGTATTTTTTTAAAAATATATTTTTAATTTGTTGTTCGCATTTGTATTTAATTTTTTTTTTTTAAATATTCAAACCGCTTTTTTTTTAATATAAAAAGGAAAGGAAAGGAAAGGAAAGGAAAGGAAAAGGAAAGGAAAGGAAAGGAAAGGAAGATCCCAATTTGAGAAGAATATGCATTAACGATCGACAGTGATGGCAGGTTTTTAGCATTTTTACTTTATTTCAGCGGCACAGATTCCACGGGAAGGGCTGTGGAGCTCTTGACCCATCAAAATATTCTATAAACAAGATAGTTCTGGTTAAAATTTTGAACATCAAATTTTCCTTTAAAAAATTTTCGATCTGTATAAAAATAAGTGGAAAATTAGGTT